TTTGAAAGAGTTGGCAAAGATCATCACAATTTACATTCATAAATATGCTGAAATTTAGATAAAATGTAGCTGAGATTTTCTCCCAATACACTTGGAACTAGGGGATGATCTACCTACCAAATTGACGAGTCTATTTTTGAACGCATTAAACCGTTCGTCGATACAATATAGGAGTAGAGAGATATTTGCAGTTTCGCGAGACTGCGCAGACTGCATAGGTGACAAGTAGGTGTGCCACTAAAGTTTTTTTAGCAATACATTTCGTGTGTTATATGAGGTATTTTTGGGACATAATATATACCAAATTAAAGGCCTTGGATTTTAGTTTCTAACGCTCTTAATCGTTCGTTCATACAATATCCGGATAAAAAGATATAAGCATCTGAAGAAGAGACAATGGGTGCCAAGCCAGCACCTCTTTGACTTATCAAAAAAAAAAAAAAAAAAAAAAAATATATATATTATATATATATATATATATATATATAATATATATATATATAATATATATATAAGACATTCCTTTATTCACTTTTCCACATACCATGACCAGAATAAGACCCCTAAACTTAACCTTTAGCTCTCGATAACACTAGAACGATCCCTACGACATAAGTATCGCTATATCGCCTCTCTTTTTCTTTGTAGTTTGAGTTTTGGAAGTACTTCATAGTTAAGAAAATATCTACTTTCTGTATTTAAGCTTTAAATATCAAGGATGGTTGATAAATTCTTTTCCTAATAGTTAGAACTCACGGGACGAGTTAATCGACTTTAGTGGACTGTTTCGTGTTGCTTTTGGGACGTCTATTTTGCTGATTTTTTATGGAGTTTTGGAGGATAAAGATGTGGATAAACACCTCACAATGACGGAATGTTAGGCTGGTCATTCGTCGTTACATTTTTAGGTTGTTTGACACTACTTTTGTTGTCGTTTTATGTGTGAAGTGATTAGGGTGTGTGGGCTTTTTTGGGATATATTGTGATTGAGATAAGGTTGGAAAATGATGCATACATGTTGTTATTGGTTTTTTCTTGGTGTTTTTTGTATATGGTATTGGAGGAGGGCCTTGTTACAGGGGAGATGTTGCCCAAATTTACGTAAACGAGCTATTAGTTTAAATTGCGGACTTATCCTTTACTCAACACTGATTTTGAATCTCTTTATGCTGTGGTAGATTGAGTTGAGTTCTTTGAAGAATTTCTTGGAAGGTATTAAGGACTCAATGAAGTTATGGTATGTTAAGGCTAAACCGTTCTTTCATTTTGGCATGATCCAGTAACTACATGTGTTTGGTAACAAGACATAAAGAGAAGTTCATATTCCTGAATTTATGTACATTTTCCTGGTCTCATAAGTTACACCATTCTCCCTTATCGGGACTTCATATTCAGTTTAGTTTTGTCTTCTATCAGCCAAGAGAGCAGAGAGTCTATGTATACAGTATTTTCACCACCATCGAGCTATAATCGATGGGTAGGCCCTTATAGGATAACCTCTTATCAGATGGTGAGTTATATACAGAGCCTACTGTGGCCGAGCGCCTATGAGCGAGCTCATAATGGCTGAGATACAGAGCCTAGTATGGCCGAGCGCCTATGATCGAGCCTACTACGGCAGAGCAGTTACATATACCGAGCCTTATAAGGCCAGACAACTATTTTACTTACTATATTGAGAGAACTGAGTCAGTATCAGCAGGTAAGCGTATCTTCAGATTATCTTTGACTCCCAGTTACTTTCAGTTATTATATTATCAGTTCAGTCTCAGCTTTCAGTTATTCTATTTCCTTACATACTCGGTACATTAATTCGTACTGACACCCTTTCTGCCGGGGATGCTGCATTTCGTGCATGCAAGTCCTAGTAGATAGCTGGATAGACTTTCCCAGCAGGTAGAGTCAAATATCAGCTTGGTCGGTAAGCTCCACTTTCTCGGAGTTACCTGGTCTAGACCTTGGAGTCCATTTTATATATACAGATTTGATGGGTACGTCGAGGCCCTGTCCTAACCATGATACAATTCAGTTATCCCTAGAGGCTTGTAGACGAGTCCTATATACTTTTTTTATCATTATTGTGGCATTACCAGCCCTATGTAGATGCTTTGTTTGGTAATGATGGTTGCAGACGTTATTTTTAGATGATTCAGAATATGGCCTCGTCGGCCCAAGTTGAGGATTACCCCTTCAGAGTTTACAGTTACAGAGTGGTACGCTCGGGCCGAGTACGGCACTGGGTGCCGGCCACGACTCTTCAGGTTTGGGGCGTGACAATTACTTACCCATTAATGTAATATAACTTGTATCTGATTAGCTGTAGAATTTTAGATGTATGTTTAATTAATAATGAGTATTCTTATTAGGATTCTCATAAATCTTTCTGTATAGGGTAAAATATGTTCATATTAAATGCTCGCATGATAAAGCGTACGTGGAGCCGAATACAGAAGGCAACCAGGTCCGAATGCAACAATCTCGTTTGTTCCCAAAAGGAATAGTGTTCATGAAGGCAAAATAAATGTCTGCCACCCGGTAGCATTTAATGGAGAATATTCTATAGCATTAAGTATATAGTCTGTTTTGAAAAATATAGCATTCACTGGTTACCGTTACATATTCTTCAATGGCCCTCATAATTGTCATTTAAGAAGGGCTTGATCCTAGGACGTTGTTCCCTAGGTGCAATTTCAAATAGAGGCTCAACAACCATTGTAAAGCACAAGAATTTTCTGACAAGCTGATAACTATACTTTGTTCAAAAGCTTAATGATATTTCATCTTCTTGCTTATTAATATTGTTACTACTACCTCCGGAAGCCTCTGCTACCATATTCAAGATTTTTACTGTCTTATCTCGATTTCAACGTTAAGTCTTACATTCTTGTTTAATTTTATTTATCATTTTGGGATAGAATTAATCCACTTGTCTATAAACCACGTACAAATTCAACTGTACCATTTTACCGATAAAGAGTTTGGCGCCCACCGTGGGGCTTAGGCAGTTGTGTAATTGAGTTGATCCTATTGAGTTGATCCTTGCATATATTACTAACTTTGATTGTTTGTTCTTAGTAAAAATCATAGAAAATGGCAGATAATGATGTCAACATCGCATACAATGTTGAGGCCCAAGGAAATCAGCCTCAACATGAAAATTCGATCAGTGATACCCGCAACGGGGGGGATAAGGCCATGCCGGTTCACGGCAGGCAATATTCGCGACATGTTCGAGAGGCAACTCCTGAAAATGCTAAAGACGAACACGTCATTGAAATCGTAAGGATCCTGAGGGAGCAACAAAAGGCCATTATGGGCCACCTCTCGCGATATGATCAGGTCATGATGGAAATAAAGCAAGCGTTTTCGAGTTCTTCCAACAACGCGAATGGATGAGGTCCAGTTCCTCCCAGTGTTCCTGCAAATCAAACAACACAGATGGTCGACCACTACACCCCGAAGGAAAAAGTTAGCTTTGATTGGGCCGAGGAGGACGGTAGCGGATCCGGTAACAATGATGACAGTAATCCTTATAAAATTGAACTCATGCAATTTATGAGGGAAATAAGCACCTCAATGGATCAGATTCCGGGCGCACCACCAGTAATGAAAGGACCGAACTCAAAGAAGTACACCCAATTGTTGTTCAAACCAAGCGTGGCACCATAGTTGATCCCAAAAGTTCAAAATGCCAGACGTGCCGAACTATGATGGGACTTCAGATCCTCAGGAGCACATCACCGCCTATACAACAGTGGTGAAGGAAAACAATTTAGCTCCGCACAAGATTGAGTCAGTCTTACTAAAGAAGTTTGGGGAGACCCTCACGGAGGGGGCCCAGAAATGGTATTCCCTCTTGGCCGAGCACTCAATAGATTCCTTCGAGATGCTCGCGGATTCTTTTATCAAGGCCCATGGTAGGGCCAGAAAGGTGCAGGCCCGAAAAGCCGACATATTTTGGATTGCACAAGGAGAGTTCGAATTGCTACGGGAGCTCTTGACCAGATTCGAGAAGGAAAGGATGTTTCTACCAGCCGTATCGGGCGAATGGGCAGCAGAAGCAGTCACTAAAGGATTGAATCCGAGAAGTTCAAACGCTTCAAAAATTGAAAGAAAGTTTTCTTGAATTCCAGGAAACAATATGGGTGGATGTTCACAATCAGTAGTCAAAGATAGGAATTGAGGATTATTAGCTCGGCTTCCCGATATCAACCAAGGGTGGGGACCGGGAAAAGAATAAGGAGAGATCAAAGGATGATTTTAACATAGATCGAAGGTCTTCAAGGGATCGGTTTTTGCCCTATAAACGGGCTGAAGGACGCGGAAGAGGTTTTCTATTGGTGGATAAATTCGCTATCGATAGGAGAGTTGATTGCGGCTGGAATAACAGATCACTGCAAGACAAGGAGTTATCAGGTTTCCGAGATTCCTCCTACCCCAGGCTTTCCAAATACAACTTCAACGATAGTGTAGTAGAGCTGGTGTCAGCTTTGAGGAACACTAAGGAAGCACGGTTCCCGAAACCAATAAGCTTTGATCCCAGTCAAAGGAATCCTAATTTGTGGTGCGAATACCATGGGACCAACGGACACCGGACAGGGGATTGCCCACATCTGTGTGAGGAGGTGGCGACATTGGTAAAAAATGGCCATCTTAGAGAACTCTTGAGTTATTAGGCTAAAAACAATTACGGTCGCAATCGGGATAACGTGGAACCTTTGAAAGCAGGTGAAGATCCCCGACGTTTGACGATCAACATGATTTTTGGGGGGAACGAGATTAATGGTGTGACATTTTCAGCAACAAAAAAAGATGAAGATGTTAGTGACCCACAACAAGAGTCTCTGGTAAGTCGCTGAGGACGGCATTACTTTCATGGAGGAAGACACAGATGGACTACTGCTTCTGCACAATGATGCATTGGTAATCTCTATAAATGCCTTAGATTTTATAATTAAACGTGTTTTGATGGACCCATGAATTTCGGCTAATATTATCCAATGGAGAGTGCTAGAGCAAGCAAAGCCCAGCAGAAGTATCATTCCGGCTACAAAACTCCTCACCGGGTTCAACCTAGCAAGCATGATAATCCGAAAAGAGATTTTGATTCTCATGAATGTCAAGGTGATGATGAATACGACCCTTTTCGAGGTAGTGAATGGCGATATGGGCTATAATATTATCCTGGATAAGCAGTGGTGCATGAGTTGAAGGTTGTGCCATCAACATATTATCAATTGTTGAAATTCCCAACTGCCGAGGGAATTAAACAAATAAGAGGTGACCATCTGGCAGCAAGGGAGATGAACGCAATCTCAGTTTCCAGTAGCAAAGGGAAGGCACCTGTACCATAGCTATTACAGGAACCAGCACCTGCTCCCAAGCCGAGCAAAGTCAACTGGGCAGAGAATTCATCAAAATCCTATCAGGTACCAAGATATTTCCAAGTGCCAGAAGAAACGGACGCAACAAAATCCACAGCGGAAGAACTTGAGCAAGTTGCATTGTTCGAAAAGTTTTTGGGGAGGAAGTTCTACTTGGGGACAGGGCTAAATCCCGAGCTCAGGTCTGGATTTATCGATTTTCTTAAATTTAATGCTGACTGCTTTGCGTGATTGCATGAGGATATGACAGGTATCCCGCTAGAAGTGGACGTGCACAAACTAAGCTTGGATCCCAACATTTCTCCGGTAAGACAGAAAAAAACATCCTATTGCCGAGGTTAGAAGAAAATGCATCAAAGAAGAGGTAACTCGTTTGCTTGATATCGGTTTAATCCGAGAGGTAATTATCCTGATTGGCTAGTTAACGTATTAGTAGTTCCAAACAAAAATAAAAATTTTGCATGTGTGTAGACTATAAGGGCCTAAATAAGGCGTGCCCTAAAGACTCGTTCCCATTGCCAAACATTGATCAAATGATCGATGCGACGGCCGGCATGAGTTAGTGAGTTTCCTCGATGTTTACTCAAGGTACAATCAAATCAAGATGAACCTGGAGGATCAGGAAAAAACTTCGTTCATAACAAACTTCGGCACATAAAGTTATAATGTGATGCTAAAGAACGCTGGAGCCACTTATTAGCAGCTTGTATACAAAATATTTGAGAAACAAATAGGAAAGCCATGGAGGTTTACATAGACGGTAGGCTGGTTAAGTCATTGAATGCAGGTGATCATCTTAAACACCTGCAAGAAACCTTTGACATCCTCAAAAAGCACAACATAAAGCTCAACCCCGAGAAGTGTGCATTCAGAGTCAGCTCCGGTAAGTTCATGGGATTCCTGGTATCGCAAAGGGAGGTCAAGGTTAACCCTGATAAAATTAATTCCATTGAAGACATCCTGGACCAGCTATTAAGCATGAAAGAGGTTCAAAGTTTGACAGGAAGACTGTCCGCTCTGAGCAAATTCATTTCCCGGTCTTCAAAAAAATGCCATTAATTCTTTTCACTCCTCAAAAAGAAGAACAACTTTGAAGGGACTCTAGAATTTAGCAGGCTTTGAAGGATTTAAAAATCTATTTGTTGAGCCCTGCATTACTGTCAAAACTGGAGGAAGGCAAACAACTGTTGATCTACTTAGCAGTCTTGGAGGTAGCGGTAAGTGCCATTTTAGTCCATGAGGATGAAGGTATGCAATCTTTTATCTATTAGGTTAGTAAATTTTGACGGGAAGAGAAACTCGTTACCCACATCTGGAAAAATTGGCCTTAGCTCTCGTAGTCGCCGCTCGAAAGCTTAGGCCTTATTTCTAATGCCATTTGATAGCCGTGGTGACCACTTTTCCCCTGCGGAATATTTTTCATAAACCTGAACTTTTAGGTAGGCTAGCCAAGTGGGCCGTCAAAATGAGTGAATTTGATATAGAGTATAAACCTAGGATTGCGATTAAGTCAAAAGTTATTACCGACTTTGTGGTCGATTTAAGCCCGGGACTATTACCTTTGGCTACAAAAGAAGCGGTGATGGTGTCAAAAATTGACATCAGGAGTTTGGACTTTTTTCACGAATAAAGCTTCCAATATGAGAGGGACCGAGCTTGGCGTAGTACTAATCACACCTTCGGGGGAAACCCTAAGGCAGGCCATAAGAACCGTTCCTCTAATTAACAATGAAGTAGAGTATGAAGCTTTGATTGCAGGACTCGAGCTAGACCAAGGACTGGACTTCGAGGTCATAGAAATCAAATGCAACTCCCAATTGGTAGTAAATCAGGTCTACGGCATCTTCGAAGCCAAAGAGGAACGCATGCAACAGTATGTAGTGAAAGTTCAGGCTATGCTCGCATGGTTCAGGGAATGGTCAATTACCCACATCCTGAGAGAAGAAAATGCGGAGGCAGACGCACTGATCAATTTGGGATCGTCCACGGAAATGGAGGGATCGCACTACGGTACGGTCGTGCATCTTATGCATTCGGTATTAGACACAGACGTCTATTACAAAATAAACGCGTCCAAATTGGTCCGGGACTGGATAAATGATATCATTGACTATATCGAGCACAGAACACTGCCCGAAGATCCAAAGGCATCTCGGGCACTATGCACTAAAGCAGCTCGATACAGCTTCAAGGGAGGTCAATTGTATAGAAGATCCTTCCAAGGCCCGTTGGCCCGATGTTTGGGAGCTTCTGAAGCCAACTATTTCATGCGGGAAGTCCATGAAGGGATCTATGGAAATCACTCAGGTGCGAATTCCTTGGTGCTAAAATTAATTAGGGTAGGATACTACTAGCCCCGGATGGAACAAGATGCCAAGGCTTATGTTCAGAAATGTGATAAATGTCACCGCCACGCACCATTGGTACATCAGCCAGCAGAGTCATTACACTCAATTTTGTCGCCATGTCCATTCATGAAGTGGGGATGGATATAGTTGGTATGTTGCCACTGGCCCCCGGTAAGGTAAGCTTTCTTTTGATTTTAACTGACTATTTTTCTAAGTGGGTTGATGCAAGTCCTTACCAAAATATCAGCGAACGCGAAATGGTAGATTTCTTGTGGGAAAATATAATTCATAGATTTGGGATACCAAAAGAGATAGCATGCGACAACAGGCCACAATTTATAGGCGCAAAGGTCACAAAATTCCTTGAAGGCTTGATAATCAAAAGGATCACATTATTGCTATAGCACCCGAGATCAAATGGTCAAGAAGAATCTACAAACAAGGTTATTATTCAAAATTTAAAAAAGAGATTGGAATCAGCAAAGGTAAATGGCCCGAAGAGCTACCAGGAGTACTATGGGCGTATCAAACATCGGCCAAATCAAGCACCGGGGAGACTCCTTTCTCTTTTGTATATGGAGAGGAAACCCTAATCCTGGTGGAAGTAGGGGAACCTACCTTGAGATATTTCCAAGCAGATGAAGAAACAAACAATGAAGCAATATTGGACAAATTGGAGTTGCTCAACGAACGTATGAACTTGACGCATACAAGGATGGAAGCCAAAAAATAGAGAATGAAAGGATATTAAAACCGAAGAGACAACCTCCGATGTTTCAAAGTAGGAGACTTAGTTTTAAGGAAAGTAACTCAGAACACCTGGGAGCTCAATGCAGGGAAACTGGGTCCGACATGGGAAGGCCCCTACCCGGTTTCAGCTGTCACCGGGAAAAGGGTCATACGAATTGGAAAATGAAGACGGGGTAAAGTTGCGAGCAATTGGAATGTGGCACACCTCAAAATATTCTATTGTTGATGAGCCTCGCCTATACGTCAAGTATGTGCTGCACTCTTTTTACCTTCGTCCAGTTTTTGTCCCAATTGGGTTTTTTTGGTAAGGTTTCTAACGAGAAAGCAACGGATAGCATACTATGAATGAAGCTTTGTCAGCAGAAATAAGACCTTAAATGACATGGCACGCAGACAATGTATCACTACAGAATGATTAGATAATCTGTTGCTCGGTAGCAAAGTTGCTACCGAGAAGTAAAATTTGCTATCGGGCCAAAGGGTTACCCGACCGTTCATGAGTGCAAGCCACTGGGGGGTTGTTAGATAGTCTTTGGCTCGATAATAAATTTCCTAAGGAGATGTGAAGCTTGCTATCGAACTAAAGGTTATCTAACCATCCACTAGTGGAATCTTCGAAGGAGCAAGACTTTCAGTGTTCAAATTGGCATTCTTCGCATTCAATACTGGGGGGAGAATGATGTGAGAATATAGCAATAACTGCTACATATACTAGGACTATAAAACTCGGGAACAAAGTTTATCATCGGGACTAGGGACTGCGCGGCCAGCCCCGTAGAAATAAGTTGTACAAGTTATCCAGAAGTAATGGCAATTTCTTTTGTAGCACAACGAATGCTTATATACTTTTTAAAATGGAAAGATTAAAGTAAAGTCCTTTTATTTTTATCTTGTTTCTTGTCTGAATGAGGAATTAATTTTATCATTTAAAAGTTAAACAAGTACTTCAAATGCTAGTGCCGTAATGAACAGGAGATGTCCTATCCAAGAGCATCGTAAACATAAGAGCGCCCTCTCTTATGAAACCCTCACGCTAAAAGGGTTGATTCTGGAAGAGCTTGTGCCCGGAATCCAAATTCTCTTAGGGAAAAACAGCCGAAGCCTTGCATAATTCGACGCAAAGAGAAAAACTTGCATAATACTTAAACGAAAATATACTTCTATTTACAACAAATGTGCCAAGTAGCACAAATAAAAAGGTATGGAAAAGAAGAGAAAGGAAAAATCTAACTGTTGCACCCTCGGAATCCGGAGGAAGAAAAGCATCTCCACCCCCCTCATCACCGACTCCTCATCGTCATCGATCACCACAGTGTCTATGGCTGGCTCAGGCACAGCGCTCATCGCCACAGCGCATGCGGATGGCTCGGGTGTGGCATTTTTTGCCTTTTTATTTTTACACTTGACCGCGGAAGAACTTCGCCTTTTTGCTTCTCCTCCGCCCCGGGACTCCGAAAAGAAATACTTGCACTGAAAGTAGGACCGATAACACCTGTTCGGGTAAAAGCCTCCTGCAGCAACCTCGCCGCATCAGCCAGAACATCGTCTTCGAGGACGGTAACAGAGCCCTATGGAAGACCTGAATTCAGCAGGAAAGAAAGGTTAACCAATTTTTCTTATACGAGAAGTGAAGACGACATAAGTTCAATCTACCATGATTTTTGGCGTTCCACCCATATTTAAGGGCTAGTTCCTTCCACTTGCGGGTCTCAGGTATAGTGACATCCAGAATCATCTGGACCCACTGGTCCAAGCGTTCAATCCTTGATGGTGTCCACCGAGTTGCTGAAATAGTGAAAAAAGAAGGATCAGCAACACCATGGGACAATCTTTAAATAGAAAGACAGACGATGTACTTACAAGTGCGGTTCCATAATTCAGGAAAGGATGGAGTCGTGGCCGGAATGATATCCCTGGTTGCGACCGCAACGAGCCACTCCATCCACCCACGGTCGTTGTTATCATCCATGCTAGTTAGCAAAGCACGATGATCGCGTTTGCTAAAGTTTATTTTTCCCCCACGGAATATCTTGGGGGAATAAAGGTTCATCAATCGAGCCAGGGATAGCTATTCTCCCATCTCCTGGCATAGAAGTCGAAGACAAGCAACAGTCTGCCACACATAAGGGCTCACCTGTGCCAAGCAAACTTTGTAACGAAGGCAAAACTCCAAGTTAACGTAGTCAAGCCCCCCGCTCAATCAGAATGGTCCCAGAGTAAAGCGTTACGTATAAACATATGTAAAACCCTTCTTGTAGAAGGTTACTCGCTTTGCTAGGTCAGGAGCAATGATGTTCAAATCTTGACAACCACAATCTTCCTTCACAATAGGGATGCTAGAAGGACGGATGGAAGAAGGATACACGCTAACAACCCATGTTCGGGGGTTAGCAGAAGGGTACTTCTCTTCGAAATCCGTAGTTGTAATAAGCTTTCTGGGAATGATGGTGCTCACCATGGGAGAAGCAGCATCATCAGCACTTTCTTCGTTTTTTAAAGAACTGAAATTTCTGGAAGAAGAGTGTTGACACCCAATTTTTCCCTATGTAGTTTTTTTTTACACTCAAAATACCTCCAAAATAGCATGTGTATGCATATATAAGCATACCCAAGAGTCTTGGTATTTTTCCCTAATTTTTAAGATTTTAAAATCAATTTATTGTCTATTTCTAGCAGTACAAAATCCAATAATTATTCTCAAATTATCATTTTGGTGAATAATTTATTTATGCTCTCATATTTACACCAAAATATAACTAAGGTAATTTTTGTATATTTTTACAAATTTATTTGGTATTTTTAAATCTAAATTGCATATAATCACAATTATAGCCTGTTTTACGATTATTAGCATTTTACAATTCTAAAATTATTTTCGGTGTTTTTGGATTAATATTTATATATTATTAATTAGTTCAGTGCTTTTAATTTGTTTTAAAATCATTATTACTATTTTATAAA